CTTTATTCAATAAATATAGACGTTTCGGTCACACAATTTTGGACCTTCTTCAGTATGAAAATTAAGTTTAATTAAGATAGAAAAAATATTTTAGTACACTACATCACTAACAGTTAGATTAAATATTGTTAATGTCTTACAACGATATATTGTGTACACCAGTTCAGTATGTACTGAACTGTATGTAATTTCAGTGTACTGAACTGGTGTACACAGTATATCGTTGTAAGACATTAACAATATTTAATCTAACTGTTAGTGATGTAGTGTACTAAAATATTTTTTCTATCTTAATTAAACTTAATTTTCATACTGAAGAAGGTCCAAAATTGTGTGACCGAAACGTCTATATTTGTTGAATAAAGACAACTTATTATACACGACCAACCTGTATTTTAATGCTCGTATCGGCCTTTAGTTTAAATATTTAAGAATATATTTGGTTACAATGTGAATGCGAGTGTAGCGGCCTTCCGCTTGTCTACAAGATTGCTCTCTCAGATTGCTGCAACTTACAGGACGGCACAGACACAAAATAATTAATCGCGAAGCGGCTCGCTTTACGCAAATAACATTAATTTTTACATACAATAACCGCGTACGCGCAATTAGCGCGCGTTCCGCTCATTTGACGGCAGCTGCCTCGATAAATACGCAAAATTGGCGCCCTACAAGGCGCCAGGCAACAAAGAAATAAGTCGCTTTCTCTAAATAATGAGAGACGCGGGCCTACCGTCCTCCCTGTGGCCGTGTAAATTACAATGGGACGGACACCGAAAAGGTGTCACGTCACAGTACATAATATCTCTACTAATCGCAACTCACCGTCCTAGGTGTAAATAAACTTTTTTTTATAAATGTATGCATACCTACGCTGCAATCGTATATGTAACAAGATAGGTTACATATACTAAACGTGTACATGTGTTAGTTGTGTACATGCATAGTTTTGCAAATGACATCCAACCGTAAAAAACTATTCCCTTGAGCGGATTCCCTCCCAATGAACCGTAAAAATTGGGACCACTTTTGTATCACGGAGTTCGATCTCCTTACTCTTACTTCGTGCTTAAAACGCACAGGCGCACAGGAAATCGTTCCGAATTACCAAATCGCTTCATGCGCATTGACAAAACGGAACGATTTTAAAGCGCTGCATAGCAGTAATGCACTCTATACGTTTCATGCGTAACTCGGAATGCAGCCTATAATTGGTCGCGCTGGTTCCGCGCATTCCGTTTTGCTATGGATTTCTGCTCAATGGGACGTCTTTCTAAGGCAGTAGGCAGTGCAAAATGGGAATTGCTCATTTTGTTATTCTCGTTGTTTCTTCATCGAAAAATGAGGCGTGTTCTTCTTGCATACACTTTGTACACTTTAGTGTAAAGTGTACACTTTAGCGTTCTTCTTGCCGAAAGTGACGTTAAGTTACGTCATTACACGCTGTTCTTCTTGAAAGTGTATTACACTTTACTGACGTAATTTAGATTTTTTTACATCCCCTTGAGAGATGGTGTAAGATTGGTTTGGTTGGTCTGGTTTTGTAACGGCTAAGGGGCCATCAGTGCCCATACGCCATTCTGCTAGTTTATTTATTTTTTGAACGGAATGGGGGTTGTGTATTCTGCTACCCTTTGACTATAAAGATATGGACTGCTAGCCCCCCACTTTTCCCATGTTAAAAGCATATGCCTGATGTCGCCGTACTGAAGTAGGCTGAAGATCGAAATGCGAATTTTTCAAGTCGAATAAGCTCCGCCCCAGAGTAAAATGCCGGGAAATTTAAATCCAGTATGTATTAGTATGCCAATAATTATATGTTTTACATAGATTTTTATTCTGAATTTCAAGCTATATTATATACTGCCAAGAAGTAATATGTAAGATAATAAGAAAGAAAAGAAACAATGATTATGTGTAAAAGTAATGTATTTTATAATATAATATTGGGGTAGTGGAAAAGTTCTGCGGATTTTTAGTATAAAATTTAAACACAAAATCAACATTTATAAAAATTAATTTAGTCCACAATGTGTTGACCGTCTTGATCTACAACTTGTTGCCAACGTTTCGGTAGGGCCATGATGCCGCTCTCGTAAAACCCTTGGGACTTGTGGGCAAAAAAATCAACGAGGTGATTTCAGATGGCCTCCATTGAGTCAAATTGATGACCGTCAACATTGTTTTGCAGCAAGCAAAACAAGTGATAATCAGACGGTGCAAGGTCCGGCAAATATGGTGGGTGCTGGATCATTTCCCAGCCAAAGCTCTGCAATTTTTTTTTTGTGATCAAAGAAGTATGTGGTCAAGCGTTGTCACGATGGAAAATCACACTTTTTCTATTCGACAATTCTGGCCGCTTCTCTTGCACTACCTTGCGCAATTTGTCGAGCTGAGCGCAGTATTTCTTCGAATCTATTGTTTGGCCCTGCGGGAGCAGCTCGAACTACAGCACTCCTTTATAGTCCCACCAAATACATAGCATTACTTTCTGTGGATGCAAATTAAGTTTTGCCACCGTTTGTGAAGACTCGCCCGGACCGCACCACGACTTCCTCCGCTTAATGTTGTTGTAGACAACTCATTTCTCGTCTCTAGTGATGATCCGTTTCAGAAATGGATCTAGAGAGTTTTGTTTCAGAAGAGATTCACACGCTAAACTCTGATCCATGATGTTCTTTTCGCTCAGTTTGTGCGGCACCCATACATCAAGCTTTTTCACCATGCCAAGCTTTTTTAATCGATCCATAACGGTTGTATGATGAATGCCGAAGCGCTTTGCAATCTCTCGAGTCGTTAAGTGTCGATCACTCTTCACTGTAGCCAGGAGTTGGTCGTCGTCAACAGAATTTGGCCGTCCAGAGCGTGGTGCATCTTGGAGATTAAATTCTCCGGAACGGAAGCGAGCAAACCATCTTTTGCATGTGTCTGTGCTTAAGGCCGAGGCACCATACATGGCGCATATTTCGCGCTTAGCGTCTGCCGCTTTATATCCTTTACGGAATAAAAACAGCAAAATATGGCAAAAATGCAATATTTGGTCTTCCATTTTAGTTGTATGCCGTACACGCAAAACACGTCCGACCAAAACAAACACTTCTGCCAAATGTCAAGCGTAGTGTGACTTGTCAAAATATGTGCGGCAGACTGACATTTGAACGACACGCGATAATTATTTTCTGACACTAGTGTCATCTATTAAAAAATCCGCAGAACTTTTCCACCGACCTAATATAATATACATTATATCAATATATTTTATAAAATGATATAATGTAATATAATATACAAAAAAATAACAAGAAAGAAAACTATAGACAATACATATTGTATTGTAAAATACATTGTATTATATTTACATATGTAATGTACACATAATATATGTAAATATAACAATATTGTACAATATAATATGTATTGTCTGTATTTTTTCTTAATATCCTTTAAATAAAATTGTTTTGTTTAAAGTATGTATCTAACTGACAATCCTTGACGATTCACGAGAAGAAAAAGAAAGCAGGAAATAAGGAAATAAATCTGATTTCAAAAGTGTCAAAACTTTTTTTCAAAAGAATCGCACAACTCTTGACATGTGAGACACTACAGGATTACATGATTAAAATAGACAAATTCTCTGACACTCGACGTAGAAATATACAGGGTCCGCCACTTAAATCCGGACAAAAATTTTTTTCTCGAAAAAGTTGTTTATTNCAGAAAATATGAAAAAACATAAATAGACTGCTTTATAGCTGGGTTAAGGGATCTTTTCTGAGACATTTTACTCAATGTATCCGCCCT